CAATGTACACAAGGGAACCGTTTTACACCTGATAATACTGATAATGATGTATAATCTCCATTATCCATTGACCAGAGTAGTAGCTAATGGACATTGTCAGGCTAATGGATACTGCCTGGCCAATTTGATACTGTTTTTGCGGCCACCGAAAGATTTGCTTGGACATTCATTATGTAGGGCTTTGGTTCTTGTACAGGGAGAACAGACGAAAATCAATGCGCGCGCGGATGTCATCCATAAAATTGAGACGGTTTGGCCTTAGCGATTAGATGTATTTTGAGCTGTATGTAGATTCCATATTGCTTCATTTTGAAGACCGTAGAAGGTTCGAGAAGAAACAGGTGTGATGGTTTAATTTCTAAACTATTGTTAGAAATTAGAGCAGAAGTCTCTTTCGTAACACCTGTCAGATATGCCACAAATAGCTTCTTACGCAAGTCTTCTGTCAGTGTGTTAAAGGTTAACGTCCGTTTAAAGGTTTTTCCAACAAATGGGTTAACGTTCTTTAAATCGAGAGGTCCAGACAAAACAAAAGGTTATATATATATATATATATATATAAAGGCTAACGTCCTTTTGAACAAAGTAATTAGTACATCTTGTAAATGTCACCCTTTCATAACATTAATTTGTCCGGAAAAGTGAGTTAAGGCCATTTAAAATCGTTCTCAAACATGTCAAAGGCAGTCATTTTTTTGTAAATATAGGAAGACGAATCAACCCTACCCCATAGAATACTGATATCTGTGTGGCAAAAATACGGAAACGGTTGCTTGCTTGCTTTGTGTCGTAGGCTGGTTCAAGCTAGCTATTTTTGGTACTAAAAATAAACATCATGAAGCTTGTTTTGCTGTTTCAAACGCTCCAAAAATTAAAAAAAAATGAAAAATGTGCCAGAAGTGGCAGTAAATACCAGACAATGTGATTGTCCTTGATCAGATTTTCTCAACCAGAATATAATTTCTTTTGTTGTGCTGAAATTTTGTTATATGCAACTATGCATACTGTAATATACATGTCTAGAATACTACTGTAATAGTGAGGACAGGGTTGATTTGAAAAACGGGCAAAGTCATGAGAAGGTTTGAGTTAAGATCCACGGAAGAACGCAATATGAAGTTCTTCTTGAAATTTTTTTGTAGTTTTCTTGAAGTTTTTAAAACTCAAACAAAAAAGGATCTGTTATACTGACCTTGTATCAAAGATGGTTCTGAACTTTGCTTCAAGAAGCAGCGGTGAGTTTTTCAGTAGTCAGTGGTGTTTTTTTCTCCGAAGTATAGACGAATACAAAGCCCTTTGTCTCTCCTTCGCTGTGTTGCTTCCTGTTTACCTGGCTAGTGACAGGTGTTGTGCCTTGTACGGTTACCTGTGTCCCTGTATATGTGTGAAGTCGTCACACCTGATCACCTGTATGTAAATTACTGGTGACAGAGGGACGACAACAACCTGTATGCCTGGGGGTGTATACATGTAGCATCACGGGACTCTCACGAGGTGGTGAGACCTTCCTGAGTCGACAGTTATTTATAGCCGGGAATAGTTTCATCAGGTCGGTATGAGTATGAAATGCCCGACAAATTGCGAGATTTATGGACTGGGATATGTGAATAGAAATGCAGTTTTATTTTGTAGGCTGGAAGGTTGTAGTAAGCAAGGAAACATTTCAGTTCTGTATGAGGGCAATGGCAAATTATTTGTATTTCGTACATATCCATTAATTCTATATATAAATGATATAAATAACTGAGTAAAGAGACTCTTTTTACACAACCCAGTTATTTATATCCGTGACTGATAGTTTTAATCCTGGGTCGTACGCTGGTGTCTAGCTATTTGTGGTACTAAAAATAAACATCATGGAGCCTGTTTTGCTTTTTCAAACGCCTCAAGTATGAAACGACGGCAAAAAAAAACGTGCTAAGAAATGGCAGTAAATGTCAATATCAGAGATTGTCCTTGATCATATCTGAATAGTTTCATTAGGTTGGTAAGGCAAGTGGGGAAGTATGGCCTAGCGGCAGAGCCTTCGACTCGGAACCAAGAGGTCCCGGGCTCGAGTCCTGACATGCCACCGATCTTGTGCCCTTGGGGGTGGTGTTTTCCTTTGATCACTGGCATTCCTGGATATATAAAAGTTGTGTTGGGAAGGGCAGATCTCTCGGTTGTGGTAAGACAGTATCAAATTGGCGAGCCTGTATCCATTTGCCTGACAGTATCCTTGGGGAAATGGATACAGGCTGGCCAATTTGATATTGTCTTTGGACATTGTTCCATTGTGTTACCCTCACCGCAAGATCTGTTTGGAGATTACTTTACACGACCCAGGTACCTGACTTCAATTAAGGAGGTAACTAAAAGGTGGTGGAAGGAGATTAAAAAGCCCCACGTACCTATATCGTGGACTCGTATAGCCTCTACCAGGCTTAGTTATTGTGGCAGCTTTTGGGAAGGCTAGCAAGGGAGTTTTAATGTGGCAGTTTTGCTATGACACATGCCCTTACTTCACAGACCAAAGAATGGCGTCCGCATATACGTGTACTGTATGAAGAACATTGTGTTTTGAAATTCATGGTTCACTACCTGATCATAAGTTGGTACGTAACAAAGAATATAACAGACGACACACATTGAAATATGTGAAATTATGCGGCCATGTTTTAAATTTCAGCTCTAAAATAATATACGAGAACCATGCCTGCATTTGGGGATAAACAGCTCTTACCGATTCTGAAACGAACCTTTAAAATAGGTAAACTACATTGCGTCACCAAGACAATGAGTTCATGGCCTTCTTTGCTTGCAGTTTGACAAAATACCGTAAGATGGCAGTGTTGCACGAGAAGTTTGCATCCGGGGCATGTTTGTTGTTTGACTAGCTTATATTTACAGTTGTAGACGATATAGGTAGTTATCAAAAAAACTACGTATACTCTCCTCTTAACATCAGAAAACCCACAAGTTACAGAAAAGTGGGATCTTTTGTCTTCCTCTGTCTTCGAAAATGAAGTCAAACCCAGTAGTTTTTAGAGTTAACAGTAGCTCTCTGTATATAAATTGCCTGTTCTTATACCAAATGTTTCTTTTGTACTTGCAATTAGCCCTCGGGCATGAATTTGCAATAAAATTTCGTTATCTAAGGCAGTAACGTACTGTTCTCTGTGGATTCTCATGTGGTTGGACTGGGAATACTTTAATGACCAGGTGGTCCAAATGCAGAAGTGGTCACCAGTGTAGGTGTCTTTACTATATAATAGACATAGTCTTTTATTGTTTACCTTCACAGAAGGAAAATATATTGTTTTTGCTCTGTTTCTTATTCATCTTCTCCAAACAAGTAAGGTCAATCACCTGAGCCAGACGTCTGTCACCATGGTAACAAGTGTTGGGTTACATCATGTTGCAATTTTATAGCAGGAGGGATTTACACTCATGTCACCATATATAATGAATGTGTTTCTAGTTAGTTTCAAGACTATTTTTACAGTTCTTGACTAGTTTGCATACTCGTCATGAGGTCGTATAATGAGGTGCAGAAGTGGTCACCATTGCATTTTTCTCAGTTAAAACTGTATCTACAGTTCTATACTATCCAGGTAATTGTCCAAAGCGGTGACGTATTGTTCTTTGTGGATTCTCATGTGGTTGGAGTGCGCAGACTCGACCCAGAACTGCATTCGTACGTCGCAGCCGCGCATGCGCCAGCTCTCTGCGCAGCGCTCGTTGTACGCTCGGGTGGACATCGGGTCGTCATGACAACCGAACAGCAGGATCGGCGTCTTCGGGACCATGGTTTCCCAACAGTACCGGGTCTGGGGAAGTAAAAACAGAAATGTCACGAAAAACATCCATATTTTGGCCATAATCATTGTGATGATGTAATTTCATTCATTTCGTGACTTTTTCTTGTGTTCAAAACAAAACAAAACAGATACCCCAAAAAACAGTTACTCAAGAGACTAAGAGAAAAAGGGAGAGAGAGGAAGAGAGAGAAAGAGAGGGGGAGAGAAAGGGGGTAGAGAGTGAGAGAGGGAGAAAGAGAAGAGAGAAAGATTGGAGAGGGGGAGAGAGAAATTGAGAGAGAGAGAAAGAGAGAGAGAGAGAGAGAAAACTAAAGCAGCAAAGACGGGGAAAATATGCTGTATTCCAGCTACATGTATATCTACGAAGAATAATGAAATATCATTAAACGAAAAACATGTCGACAATGTCATCATTTATGACTTTTTCTCGTGTTCATTCCAAGGTGAGATGAAAACTATGCATTTTCTAAAGACATCCAAACTTAACAAAACTCTTGTTACATACCTGATCGTGTGCCTTCAACACTCCCGGCACGAACGTGAAATAGCTCCAGACGCTGGCTGTGTACATCATCTTCCCGACAGGATTGTTGATGGACTTGCCCACCCCGACTGCACACCCTTTGGTGTCACCGACTGGACCGTCGAACACCTAACCGACAACCGTGAATATTTTCTTTATTCAGAAACACATATTGATAAATACTTTGCAAGAAATAAACAAATCATGCACTCTACAGCTCTGAGTCATGGGCCATGAATGCTACCCAGAGCAAGAAACTGAATCGTACATATAGAATATACAAGAATGTTAAGAACAGTGTATAATGTTTCATGGAGGCAACATCTAACAAACAAACCCCCATTCCATCTGTAGTCCGACGACATAGACTCGCCCTGGCAGGGCATGTTGTTCGTAGTAACGAACCAGCTGGTAGACTAATGCAGTGGCTTCCTGCTGGGAGACGTAGAGTGGGACGGCCATTGACTACACTTTTGTCCATGTTAGAGAGAGACACTGGTCTCGCAGGGACTGCTCTAGTGTCCGCCATGAGGGACAGTGTGTACTGGAGTAACTTTATTGAGTGTACCTCACCGGATTTATAATCAGGAGGCATGATGATGATGATGATGATGATGTGTAAAAAGAGTATCTTTACCCACCTGCCCGACAATCCTGTCCAGAACGCCGGCGTACTCCGGGTTCTCCCGTGCCTGTTTCAGCAGCATGGCGTATGGGGCGAACCCTACAGACACACTGTGCACGAGGAACGGCTGTGTCGGCTTCGCTTCCGCCTTTATCAACTTCAGAGCGTCCTCGGCAACTCTCCCACCCAAACCTGTAGTCAAATGAAATAATTTAGTTATATCTAATTTGTCCCAAATATGCCTGCTTTGTATTGTTTGCTTGTGTACATTTCTGTGTCATCTTTATGTACTTTTGTATAGTACGAGTATAAGTATTCTATCTTTGTTGATTATTTGAGGAAGACACTTTATACAACTTTCCTCACTTCACTCAGGTGAAAATGAGTACTTAGCTTTGGTTAGGGACGTCCCTCGGATAGGACGCTATATCGAGGTCCCGTATTTTGGGTGGGGAGAGCCACACCCCACGCACATTAAAAAATACTACTACCTGACACTTCACTGCAGACTCCAGGAAGATTAGTGTAAAAATCCACACTAATGGAGATCACCAAAAAAAACCTGTGGTTGAGAGCGCGAAGAGAGGGTCGCCCTTGCATGAGCGTGAGGACGTCGTACAAACAAACAAACAAACAAACGTAACAAACAAACCTGAACTGACCCTCGACGGGGCCCGACATAGTCTACAAGATACCTTTTGCGTTGTTTGTCCAACACTTTCCGACTGGCTAAACAAACAAACAAACAAACAAACAAACAAACAGACCTGTAGGTGAAAAGGCGAACAGAGGATCTCCCTTGAGCGTCAGAACGTCGTACCCCCGTCTGTGGTACAAAACGCGATGCTTGTCCAACACTTTCCGACTGGCGTACAACCACGAGAAGAGCAGGACCAGAGGTCTGTCGTCGGACAGAGGGGCGCGGTCGGCCGTGGACTGGACCTCGATGTGTCTGGTGACCACTCGCACGTTAAACTTCTGGCTTTGGTCTACTGAAGCGGCTGGTGCGATTTTGTTAGTAGGCTGCTGCAAAGGAATAAATGAATAAATGAACGAATGAGTGTCTCCAGTGAGTGAGTGAGTGTGTGAGTGAGTGAGAGTGTGTGAGTGAGTGAGTGAGTGAGTGAGTGAGAGTGAGTGAGTGTGTGAGTGAGTGAGTGTGTGTGTGAGTGAGTGAGTGAGTGAGAGTGAGTGTGTGAGTGAGTGAGTGAGTGTGTGAGTGTGTGAGTGAGTGTGTGAGTGAGCGTGAGTGAGTGTGTGTGAGTGAGTGAGTGAGTGAGAGTGAGTGAGTGTGTGTGAGTGTGTGAGTGAGTGTGTGTGTGTGTGTGAGTGAGTGAGTGAGTGAGTGTGTGAGTGAGTGAGTGAGTGTGTGAGTGAGTGAGTGTGAGTGAGTGAGTGAGAGTGAGTGAGAGTGAGTGAGTGTGTGTGAGTGTGTGAGTGAGTGTGTGTGAGTGAGTGAGTGAGTGAGTGAGTGAGTGAGTGAGTGAGTAAACGGACGAAAATTCATTCGCACGTTGATGTTATCCATATAATCAAATCAACATGGCCTTAGGCAGTGTTATGAGATTCTTGATCACATTTACTTACTGGCAACTTACTAGTCTTCTGGAATGGATGTGAAAAATAAAATGGAATTGTACAATGTATTTGATGCTTTGGTACCTGTATGTACAAGGGCATGGCTTTGTCTGTACGTAGCTGTTATGGTGTAGTCTGTATCAGAACCCTAAACAACAAATTATCGTAGTAGTCTGTCAAATATGTCGCTACCATCGAAGCCAATCGGGTCACTGCTAGTCGAGAAATTCTTCTGACGAAAAATCAACCTTTTTAGGAAATAGCTGATTCTCGTGAGATCTTGATATTGCTATTAACTTAAACCTCCGTAGCAGGCTTATACTATGTTATAGAACGGGGGGTTTGGTGGTCTTCGGCTGTTTTCTGATTAGCCCAGTTCTAAACTGAAACGGGGGTAATTCAACCAGGCCGGCTATGTTGTTTATATGCAATCAGAAAATAGCACATAAAAAGCTCCCAAAGACCCTGAAGACCCCCCAAACCCCCAGTTTTTGGCATGCTATGGAGGCTAGCTATTAACTACGTATTAACTGCCGAAGGAACAATGCCGTTTAACAAATTATAAAAGGTCACTACAAGTGTTACGTACCTCTGATACTTTGTCGGGAAACTCTGTGACCGCCGCTGCACCCTGCCTTTGGTAGGACGCCAGGCCGCGAACGCCAAACCAACATTGCCTTCCCTTTCTGAGCAAAAAGGCCATGTTCTTAACACGTACACCCAAGAACGTTAACCTCCTATGTACACCACTGTGGCAAAACAAAAAATGTGGCCAAAAATGTGTCAAAAAATCATGTCGTCTGCGTAACGTGTGTCGCAAATGTCAAACTAGCTGACCCTTTGACGTCATAGGTCCTAGTAAGAAAACCGGTTCGACTTATTTGAGACAACACTTTTGCGCCGGGAGGCACTAATTATATACATTGTTGCGCATGTGTGTGTGCGTCACTCAGCTTAGTTTGTTTTCTTAGCCCAGTTTTGGATGTTTCTGTATCAGAATAGCCGGTATAACCGACCAAAACTGATGCGAGCGTGCGAATAAATAAAAAGTTTGGCCAAAAAAGAAGTTGCTGTCATTATGAAATCTACGTGGTTTTGAAGGTTGAACAAATGGCACAGAGTATGGTTTGGCGAATAATCTAGTCTTCAACTTCATTTCTTGGCTACATTTTCGCAGTTTTGGTTTGATTTTGGCATTGTACGACATTGGTTTCGTTTTATATTTGCTCATTTTGCAACCTTTTTGTACGATTTACAGTATGGTTTAATACTTTTTTTTTGGAAAACGGCCGAAAATTCATGTCCGCGTGGATGTCATCCATATAATCAACTCAACATGGCCTTACGAGTTTCCAGTAGGCACATTGGGATACTGTTGTTTCAGGTTGAAAAGTCCGTGACTAGATTAGTGACTTTGAAAAATCTGGTTTTCAAGTTCTAAAAACAGCGATGGGCAACTTAATTAGTTTTTTTATGATGTATCCTGTGCAGCCCCGGGAAATTTTCATTGTCTGCAAAATTTGTTCAAAACAACGTTCCACCACCCCTTTTTATAGTGGTCTAGTCCAATAACCTTTCACCTACGACCCCACAGCGAAGGTTGCCAAGATCTGATATCTGTAACATTTAGGTAGGACTTTTTCTTGCCATTTTTACCGTGATTGCAAGTATTTTAGTACCTCTGTGACATGAATAATGTGAGTAAAAACACAGAGGGAAATTTTATAAAGATACAGCGTTAGCTCTGGTAAATATGACACATTATTGCGCAGTGACTTCGAAAGTTGGTGGGGAGGGGGGCGTGGTGGAAAAAAGTAACTGCAAACATGTAACGTTACTTAGTAAAGAAGTAAGACGTCAAGTTATAGGAACTGCATTTTACGTGACTGTATTTTGTGTCGTTTCGCATGTTATTTTGCATATTATAAGGTCAATGACCTGAACAAGACGTCTGTCACCATGGTAGCTAGTGTTTTTAAATGGGTTACATCATGTCACAGTTTTATAGCAGGAGGGATTTAGACTCCTGTCACCATATATATGAATGTGTTTAAGTAAGAATTAGCAGAGCAGACCATGTGAGAAGGTAAACATTATGCATTTTTGCAAATGTTACCTTTTTAGTAAAAACAAACAGCAAAAAGCGAACATTTCTCTGCCACGCCATTAATCTATGGAACACCCTGCCACCCAGTATCAAAACACTGACCAGTCTGCATCAATTCATAAAGGCCATCCACCAGTTGTACATGAGCTAAGTTGTAAACTTGTATATGTTAAGTTAATTCATGATCAGTTTGTTTAACCTGTATATAATTGGTGATGATTATGTATGTTCATTCTCTTTTATATTGTTGTCAGTATGTTCATATGTATATGTTTTGAACCCTGGAAGACTAGTCGTCTTAGACTAAAGGGTATCGAAATAAACTAATGTTTTCCTTTCTAGATATCCACACAACACACCGTGAACCATGGCGGCCGGCGGGACCACGAGAAAGTGCGTTGCCTTGGTGACCGGCGGGGGCAGCGGCATTGGGCGCGCGGCGGCAGTACGGTTTGCTGAGCTGGGGTACACCTGTGCCGTGGCAGACAGGGACTTGCCCAGCGCTCGGCAGACAGTTGACTTGCTGAAAACTCCAGGTCTGTCTCTCTTTCTGACTCATTCACTCATTCACCCAATCACTCACTCTCACACTCACTCATTCTCACACTCACTCACTCACTCACTCACTCACTCACTCACACACTCACTCACTCACTCACTCACTCACTCACTCACTCACACACACACTCGGGCAGCGGCTGTATGGTTTGCAGAGCTGGGGTACAACTGTGCCGTGGCAGACAGGGACTGGGCAGGGGCTACGGAGACTGTCAACATGCTCAAAACTCCAGGTCTCTCAGTCACCCATGCACACGCGCACACACACACACACACACACACACACACACACACATACGCATGTGGCATCGGGCGGGCGGCGGCAGTAAGGTTTGCTGAGGTGGGGTACAACTGTGCCGTGGCAGACAGGGACTGGGCAGGGGCTACGGAGACTGTCAACATGCTCAAAACTCCAGGTCTCTCTCTCATTCACTCACTCTCTCTCTCTTTCATTTGTTCACTGGGACTGGGCCAGTGCTAGGGAGACAGTCACCATGCTGAAAATTCCAGGTCTCTCACACTTATTCACTCGCTCAATCATTTACACACTCATGCACACATTCATTTGCTCACTCAGTCACTCACTCACACTCATTCATTCATTCTTTCACTCAAGTCACCCACTCACTCATGCATGCACGCACGCAGGCACGCACTTACTCACTCAGTCACACTCACTTACTTTTCTTTCTTTATAGTTGTTTGTTTATCTCTCTTTCTATACATTTCATCTGTTCAGCAGTTCTTTTATTCTTTTATCTATTCAACGATTAATTCATATTAATATTGTTCATATCTTCAGGTCTAGCTGTGCAGGTAGATGTCAGTAACAGTGCGAGTGTCCAGGCAATGGTCGAGACAACCGTCCAACACTTCGGTCGCATCGACTGCGCTTTCAACACAGCAGGCACTCTCACTCATTCACTCACTCACACTCATTCATTCATTCACTCTCATTCATTCACTCACTAACGCACTCACACACTCGCTCATGCATGCACGCACACACTCAGTCAGTCACTCTCACTCACTTACTTTTCTTTCTTTATAGTTGTTTCTTTATCTCTCTTTCTCTACATTTCATCTGTTCTACATTTCAGCAGTTCTTTTATTCATTTGTCTATTCAGTCAACGATTAATTCATCAGTTTCTTCATATATCTCCAGGTCTGGCTGTGCAGGTAGATGTCGGTAACAGTGCGAGTGTCCAGGCAATGATCCAGACAACAGTCGAACATTTCGGGCAACTCGACTGTGCTTTCAACAACGCAGGAATCGAGGGCACTGCTCGAGCGAAAATCGCCGACTATCCAGAAGACCAGTTCGATAGCGTTATAAACGTAAACCTAAAGGGTGTGTGGTTGTGTATGAAGTATGAGATTGCCCAGATGCTGAAACAGGAGAGAATCGTCAGCGATCCTAAAAAATGGGCGGGAAAACCTGACCTATGTCGTTTCCAGGGGCAACGGGGGAGCATCGTGAATACAAGCAGCACCGCAGGGCTTGGCCTGATGCCAGAGTTCGCGCCGTACTGCGCCACGAAGTGGGCGATCATCGGTTTAACAAAAACCGTGGCTGCAGAGTACGCTAAGGAGGGGATCCGAGTAAACGCGGTGTGTCCTGCTACGACAGACACCCCCATGCGAGATCGGTTTGAAGCGCAGTGGCCAGACTGGCAGGCGAAAACAGACGCCAGCTATCCGGCAGGCAGGGTCGCCACACCTGAGGAAGTAGCGGAGGCAGTTACATGGCTGTGTAGCGATGCATGTCCATTCGCCACAGGAGAGTACCTGAAAATCGCTGGGGGAAGATAGGGAGAAATAGCAAAGGGACATTGCAGAAGAAAGAACACCCCCTCCCCTTTGAAGTGATAGGACACTGATGACAAAAGCTTAAAAAAGAACAGTCTTACAAAGCATTAAAAGTAGCATAAAAAGACTAGTGACTAGGCTGTGACGATGTGTAGCGATGCATGTCCGTTTGCTACAGTAGAGTACCTCAAAATTGCTAGGGGGAGCTAGGGAGAAAATAAGATATGCAGAGAAGATTTTAAAGAAAGGGGAATGCCCCCCTCCCCCTTTGAATCATATGGTGCCAATAAGCTGATAGAACCATGCAGCTATAATCGAGATGATTGGACAAAAGCTTCAAAAAGAAACACAGATACATGTAGGTGTATATATGTAGAGGCACAGTTAGCCCTTCAAATTCTTTAATCACCTGCATTTAGCAGATAGATGACAGAAAGTACTTTTTTTACGTTTTTGTCCTAGACAGTCATGCAAAGCATCAACGCCAGTGTAAAAAGACTTCTGCATGAGTATACCTGCCTGTTTTATACAGCATGCGCAGCAGATAAATAGGAATCCCAATAGGAATCCCAAGTCCCGACCAATCTCATAACAAGAGAGTAGAGTATGTTGGTCTTGTCAGAAGTCAGTTTGATTAAACTGATCTTTTTCAAAGTCCAGCTTTGCTTTTGTATAAATTTTGTACATGCATTGTTTTTGCTTATGACCTAAGGTATGAAGCAACAGTTTTCCAAAGAAATAAATACTACAACATATTAGAAACTGTGTCCTACATGTAATTGCAAGCAGATAACCAGTCTTGTTCTTGCTCAGTGGTGACAACATAGCAAAGGTTTTCACAACAATCTACATATTCTTACAAACATTAGATTATAATCTGTAACATACATTATTATCTAGAATTCTCGAATTTTCATTCTGAAATCGTCATCTCTGATGATAATACAAGAGGTACTGTACACAGAGAGCGACAAAAACAACCGCTACACCAATCAGAACTAGGTAAAAGTTCCTGTTACTATTGCACGTCACGATGTGGTCTTCATCTTCAAATAGTTCTTCCAAAATAGGATCTGATTTGTTATCCTTTATGTCGCTCAGTGATCGTTGATCAGAGACGAGTTTTGACAGAAGTTTCACTCGACCTTCTGCGAACTGCACTTCGGACGGAAACTTTGACGCCTCCGCGATCTTGAGCGCCTCTTCTGCCATTTCTAACGCTCTCTGCGTCCTGTTCTTGTACCTGAACAGGTCCGACCTGAAAGAAAAAAGCGTGGTATCAATGTGTAGGCCAATATATGTGCGATGCTTAGTACAGGCGACATCACTTGGTTTGACTGTATCAGTAACTATAATCATATTATGTAACCTGAATACTAGAGATATTATTCAATAAGAGTTTTAGGGTTTATATTGTAAATAGAATATATGGTAGTAAAGTTACATAACCACATCCTCTTTAGGTTAACGTAACTAGAAAGGTAACATTTGCAAAGCAAATGCATAATGTTTACCTTTACATATGGTCTGCTCTGTTAATTCTTACACAAACACATTCATATATATGGTGACAGGAGTCTAAATCCCTCTTGCTGTAAATTGCAACATGATGTAACACAACACTAGTTACCATGGTGACATACGTCTGGTTCAGGTTATTGACCTTATTTGTTTGGAGAAGAAGAAGAAACAGCAAAAAGAATATGTTTTCCTTCGGTAAACATAAAACATGTCTGACCTAGCCAGGTGCCAGTAGTAGCGCATCCGGTTGGGAATCCCGTCCCACAAACTTCTCTCCACTTCGTCCAGACTGTCCCCGGCCTGCCTCAGGTCCTCCTCCGTTACGTCTTCCCCTCTGTTGGACGAACGGACCTCCGACCAGCAGCGAAGCAGAGACATGGCGTAGCGGATGTGCGCTCTGCGCAGCTTGTTTCTACACGATCCGTCCTCATCTTCGCCCTTTCTGTAGTGTTCTATGGCGGACTGGAAGTCACGTCAAGTCAACTATCATGAAAGTTCATCTCTGTTGGTAGTTACATGTTTTAAGTTAAAACTTTTGGTCCAACACAAAAAGTTCTCTCACCTACAGCTTTTGACCAGTCACTCTGGTCTTCCTCAGTAGACTCGATCAACTCGGTCAACTCGGTCAACTCGGTCCACTACCCTGGTCAACTCGGTCAACTCGGTCAACTCGATCAACTCGATCAACTCGGTCAACTACCCTGGTCAACTCGGTCAACTCGGTCAACTCGGTCCACTACCCTGGTCAACTCGGTCAACTCGGTCAACTCGGTCAACTCGGTCAACTCGGTCAACTCGGTCCACTACCCTGGTCAACTCGGTCAACTCGGTCCACTACCCTGGTCAACTCGGTCAACTCGGTCAACTCGATCAACTCGGTCAACTCGGTCAACTCGGTCCACTACCCTGGTCAACTCGGTCAACTCGATCAACTCGGTCAACTACCTCGGTCGGTCGGTCGGTAGGTAGGTAGGTCGGTCGGTCGGTCGGTCGGTAGGTAGGTCGGTCGGTCGGTAGGTAGGTAGGTCGTTCGGTCGGTTTGTCGGTCGGTCGGTAGGTAGGTAGGTAGGTAGGTAGGTAGGTAGGTCGGTCGGTCGGTCGGTCGGTCGGTCGGTCGGTAGGTAGGTCGGTAGGTAGGTAGGTCGGTAGGTCGGTAGTTAGGTAGGTAGGTAGGTCGGTAGGTCGGTAGGTAGGTAGGTAGGTAGGTCGGTAGGTCGGTAGGTAGGTCGGTAGGTATGTAGGTAGGTAGGTCGGTCGGTAGGTCGGTAGGTCGGAAGGTAGGTAGGTCGGTAGGTAGGTAGGTAGGTAGGTAAGTAGGTAGGTAGGTCGGTAGGTAGGTCGGTCGGTAGGTAGGTCGGTATGTAGGTCGGTAGGTATGTAGGTAGGTAGGTAGGTCGGTAGGTAGGTAGGTAGGTATCCTAGAATTCTTGCAAGTTGCACACGATACTGTACCATTAGGCTCCTCCCTGAGACGTCGCCAAAAAGCATTCTACTACAGTGACTACTACTTCTACTTACATGGAAGGCCTCTGCGGCTGTCGCCTGGAACTCGCCAGTGGCGATCTCTGCGCTCTCGTCGTTGAGAACTTGCGCAAACAGAGCGGCGACGTTGTACCAGATTTCTCCCGTGTCGCGGCCTACCTGCATTTGGTCCAAACCCTAAAGATCAAATATAAAAGATCAATCCATTGTTGCTGTATCCCTATAAATGCTTAGTAATACTTTCCAAAAATGCTCATGGCAGATGTCGATTATGATGTACAATAATTGGCATGGCCAGAATACACAGACTAGTTTTCCATATTGCTACCGACATTGAATTCTTATTGTAATCTGTATATATATTACATTTCGTGAATGATACCTACAGATAATACGAATTCCTTAAAATAACTACTGAGCATGTAATGTTAAAAGGAAATTGGTCCTAACGTTAACGTTGCTATCTATCGGGTGCTTTACCTGTCTTGCCAAGACTATGGCGTTCTCAGCTTCCCTGTACCTCTTCTCCTTACGAAACAGCGCAGACTTTAGGTACAGCATGTGAGCCTGTGTAGAAGACCTTTATTCTTTATTCGTGACATCAAAAAGCAAACCATACAGCAGGGATAAAACTCCCTAAATTCCAAAGAGTTTGCGTACCGAAAATTACAACGGACAAGATACAGTGTTATGGCCCTATTTATGCTGAGGTCACATTTCCAACCCGGGGCCCGGCCGGGCTGTTTCGATTAACGAAAAATCAACAATTTATATCAATAATATGATCAAATAGTGCCCATTATCATTTTCAAGAACTTATTTGTGCTTTGCTGTCTTTTATATCATACTTTTCGTTCCATAAGGCTAACCGGCCGGGCCCCGGTTTGGAAATGTGACCTCAGCATTAAGAAAGGGTTGTTGAAGCCATTTCGTCCTTGCCTGGTGGTGCACCGGGTCCCGGGTCAGGAATATCAACTCCTGGACGCGCAGGACGCTCTGTTGGCCCGCTGCCAAGTCGTCGCGGTAGTACGCTGCAACAATGTTCTGTTAACAACAAAAACATGCTGTTACTTTCACTTAACTTTTACTTTATTTATTTTACCAGTTATTGCAACTCATGCTATTTCGGCCTGCTTTTCAGGTAATCCTGGGTACACATGAAAAGTATAGACAACAACTACACAGTATATAAAACAATTAATGTTATAGTATTATCTTTTTATATACACGATAGGCTTCATGTAATGAGTTACAATGTATTCCTTTTTATTTATGATAGGTTTTATTAAATAATTCATATAAGATTAAAAATTATAGATAGATTTCTATGAAAGTCACCCCTAGGAAAAAGCATGACTTGCCTCAAGAACTATACGGATGAGAATGTCAGGATTTTCCGCAAAGTGGCTACAGGCTCTTCTGTAGAACTTGTCGTACTTGTGCCATTTTCCTGTAAAAAATGCATGGATTTTCTTTCTGATTCTCTACAGCCTATTTGTGACACTCTACTGGAGTCCACAATGTAATGTACTGAATTCAAACATCAAATACACAACAAAACTGATGATAATAATGATAACTGTTCTTGGCTGTAAATTAGCAGTAGACAAACTCTAAACTACAATTGACACCAAATCAGTGTATGTCTCTGTACAGTTCAATCCATTGTCGTTTGTCTCTTGCTAAGTCTCTAAGATACTCAAGTTTGATGTTGTAATACATAAGTACTTCTGATAAGTGAATATATACTGCATTTTTGAATGCAGTATGATAATCTAGAATGTTTACCTTCTTCCTCTAGTATTTCCATTCGCGAAATTATCGTTCGACAATCTCCCTCCAGTTTCTTGTCACCTGTAAAGATGTCCCTTCGTTACTAATACATGTAGAATGTAGGTAATTATATTACATAGAAGATTCTTTTCATTGTACGTTCATGTTCACTGTTTTCACTGTCACTTCTGTACTATGAACTTATCATTACAGCTAACAAATAATTCCTGGACGTTCTTTTTCCTGCACCTGTCGCCACCGTGAATATATAGTTCCTTGAACATGTCCATTTTTCTCAGACAGTGAAATTTTGCTACCGTGAACATAAAGTAAATTACAGAGTATATGATCTTGAAAAGGTACTGAGTAACACCCCTCAGGTGGTGTAAGACATGCAGGGGGCATATTAATAGAACAGGTAAATTCAATCTAATGTGATTTAAAGTACAGTTCTTTCTCACCAAAAGTTCCTTGCCGAGGCATCTTCTTGAACATCAAATGTAGACCATTCTTCGAGGTCCTGGTCGGCTCTTTTCCTGTCTCCTGCTTTTCTTTCTGTAAGATAATAATAACACTAAGCTGCTTTAAATGCTTAGTATGACTCACCATACGTAAACCCGTGTACTGTAGTGTACTTTACTTTACGGGTACAGTACAGCAGCATTTTTTTTTTTTTGATAACTTGGGGTGGACTAAAAACACAGTTGAATATGAGTCTTATTATGATATCTTTTCTTGTCTCCAGAACTAGTATTTTACTCTTGGTTTAAGGCGTCATATATATACATATTTGTAAACAAAAAGGACTTGTAATACTGAGGCCTATGACCCTGAAACGAAACGCAGGTGACCTTATTATTGTGTTTTGATTTTCTGAAAACTCAATAAAGGTAAGGTTTCCTGCCAAAGCTAGTCAAGTTCTTGTGGAAATCGCTTAAGCTTAGCTTAGTAACTAACTTTTTCGTGCTTTTACTTCTGTTAGCGCCGATAGAGAAATCGTGTTAGATAAGAACAAAGAGCTGTGCCGCTTACACATTTGCAAACAAATCTTGGCATACCTTTTCACTAGATGAGTCATGTTTTCTGCACATCACTTCCTCTTTTGTTCCACTAACGTTTTGTCTGCAAGAAGGGTCTGACATAGAGACACAGTTTCAGTTTGGTTCTGAGTAGGTAATACACAACATGTAATGTGGAACATTTGGTACTGTTTTGTGATCTGTTTGTGTCTTGTTTATCAGATAAAAGTTGAATGGAAGTTGTATGAGTGAAAGGTTTATTATTTTGCTTTGATATAATATGTGTGCTACTTGCTATGCCAATAACCAATGTATATCACATCTGAGGAATAAGTTGTGTGATCTACTTAGTATACATTCTTGTTAAGTCTAGTCTCTCTTGTCCAACACTCCCACAAATGAAAACAAACCTTACTCTCCAAGCAGAGGTTTGGGTTTTGGGGGTATTTTTAGCGTGCTTTTAGGCTTTTTTAATCGGAGTTTCTCTTTTGCACTGAATTTTTTTCCCCACCAAACCCATTTTGGTAGGGAAAAAAAGTGCAAAAGAGAAACCCCGATTAAAAAAGCCTAAAAGCACGCTAAAAATACCCCCAAAACCCAAACCTCTGCTTGGAGAGTAAACAAACCTGTCTGTGTTGCGGTATGTTTCGTATTCTCTGCCTTCTTGTCCACGTCCTTCGTATCCACTGTCATGGAACTTCCTTTGCTGTCGATCTGTAGCCCAACAGGGTTGGAGATGTTGTACACGTTGTAAACTGGAGGTGGGCCGTTGTAGGGTAACGCGACCGCACCACATGCTTGATGTGAACACGGTACGTACTGCTGCACAGCTTGGGTTGGGTTGAAAGGCACCAGTTGACCAGCTGTAAAAGTGTCGATTAGAACTTTTGGTACATGTAAAACCATCTTTATATACCAATTACCAATTGTACATCAATGTGATAGAATACCACGTATGTCAACTTGCATATACTTAACAACGATTCTATAAAAATAAACTACATAATTGTATTACACGGTGGACTATATACTTACTTTAAAGGCAGTTCCTTATTAACTGTCCTATAACACCTTAACGCACTCGACAAGGAATATACAGTTAGTAGTGCTCTCGAAAACCTTGGATTGAATTTTCATAAAGATTTAAGATATCGGCTGCCCAAAACGACTTTATGTTACTGCCAATAGGTACCAATACATACGTGTAAGGGGATCACTTTATTTTGGTGATAACAAAGGTTGTAACTTGCCCCCCTCCCACTCCACGTAATCGCTTTGGTACTTAATTGGGACTGCTGCGAACACAGACAGCGCCTTGCAAGTCTTACAAGACCTTTCATTCCCATAGTTTTCATTACCAGGGTACCCACTACTAGTTAACTAAGTTTCAAAATGAAACCATAATTTCTTCTTAAGAATTTTACGATAGTTGATAGCTTCTTACCTTCTCCTGGATCTAAGTAGTCCTGTGAGTCTCCCTCAGTATTCTCCATCTTGACGTAAAAGATTTACACAATTAGACCATCCCACGAGTTCTTAAGCTTCCACACAATGCCATGTATGAGCTCCAATAACAAAATCTGCGTCAGAAATCGCTAAACTTGACAGAACGTGTCCGTACGTGTTTGTATGAACACGGAACCGTCAGTAGCCGGAGGGTCTGTCTGTCTGACGTGACACACACGCACGTGATTGAAATATGAGCGTCCCGACAACAAAGGGCTCCACGCAAGGTAGAGACTCAATGAATGGCAGCGTACCTTCTTTGTGACTCACGCGCTAACACAGGGTGCCGGAGTATACACTGCAATTTTACGGAATAGAGTACTAGTATATAAGTGGGTATACCAAGTGTATACTAATACTAGAGTATTAGTTTACAGTGTAATTTTACTAATATACAGTGCAACTTTACTAGTACTATACTAATACAATTGCACTGTATTCCGTAAAATTGTACTGTATACTAATACGATTTCACTCTTTTCCGTAAAATTGCACTCTATTCCCGAAAATTGCACTGTATACTCTGGCACCCCAGTACCAAGTACGAAACTACAGTGTATACCTAGTCTCCATAGTTTCTTTACCTGGCTTTTTGTACCTATTATGTACCAATTTCTGATTAAATATCATAATCGTTATCTTTCAGAATCCTGTTACAATCAGAAAACTAAGTCAATTGTACATAATACGCCCAAAACAGTCTTTTAAGACTTAAAAGTCAAGGAGTATGCAATGATGGCTTGTAGGGATGCACAACTTTTGTATGGGTGTCACGTACGCACAGGCCGTCTAAGAAAACAATTCTCCGTCTGGTTTCTGCTCTTTCACTGATAACAACTAATCTTACACAAACTTGCTGCTTGGTTATACTAAAAGGGGAAGAGATTATTAAGCAGAAGGCTCGTTAAATTGGGTGGGTCATGTAGGGCTGTACAAACAACGTCGTGTTCGCGTGTCCGATGTCACGTACGCTGCTATAAACATTTTTGGTCGCACATGTTTTGCACACTTAATCATATTCCCATGTTATGAAGTAAGTTTAAGCTGTAATTTCCAACACAAAGGATTGGACTTACTCAAATTTGCGACTCCAGTTGTTGTCAATGAATGAGCATCTCTGTGTGGCGTTTATCAACAAACACTGGCAGTTAGAATAAAAATAGCCCAGCATATATTTGAGCCATAAATGTCGAAAGAACTGAAACGTTTTTAGCGACCCACCATGCAGGCCTGCTCTTATTTCTCAACTTTTCCGACCCACCCATGATGTCAGCTATAATGCTGGTGCCGCCTAGGCCTTACAGTTTACAGGCCTTACAGTTTTATTAATAATTCGCAGCTGAATTGCACTGATTTGTACACTCGTATCAACTTACACACAAAACAAAGAAAACGCAGGCAAACTATGGGACCGGTGCAAAGTAAACAAGAACGTCCTAGAACAGTCTTACTGGATTTGAGATCTGTTATAAAGGAGTATGGCCCATTAAAGAGCTCGCTCCAATACTTCATAACGTGCGAATAGGCGTGTAACAAGGTTTAAAAACATACACCTATCGATACAGGGTTGTTTCTAAAACGTCATATGTAAAAATTTCACATCAGCTTACGACAGGGAGGTTTCAATTGCTCAGGCTCCTTTTATTGGGGGGGGGGGTAATTTAAGTAGGGATTAAAAAAAAATAATCGTTTTTACCCAATCCAACTTGGGAAATCAGAAGAACAAAAACACCATGCGATGTAATCAAGTAGCCAAGTTCCAAGCCCCCTGTTTGGATGGATGACGTCATCCATATATAGGTGACGTGTACTCAGTCTTTTTATCCGGAAGTGTTGCAATGAGATCTAGCGAACAGTGATTAAAGTCAAATTCCAATTCTGAACGTTTAGTCCTCCTCTCTACCATTTCATTACACACTATAGCAGAGATTTTTCAGGCATTGGTTTAAATACATTCACGCCTACCGCGAAACGGGAATTTCAGAAACTATAAATATGTGGGGATTCCCCTCCAATCCTGGCATACAGGACGAGTTGGGCCAACGAGACGCGACACTTGCGAACGTTACAGCTTCTCAGGTAGGCAAGAACTTGAAGAAGGAACGTCATTCCGTTTTATAGGAGTTCGAGTACAGATAACCCGAACTTCAAGGTCATTTCAAGGTCATTCCAGCCACCTTGGATGTGACGCAAGACCGGCGAAACCCGCCGGCTACTGGGATCGGTTTCACTTTCGTAGTGTTGTACACATTCTACATATTCTGACTTGTGAGCGATGCGGAAAGACTTTCCCCGGAAGAGTGCATATCAATAGGGGACTTTTTGGATGGACCTATGCTTTCCTTGAACTAGTGAGCCTCCATTTTCATGGACACAACTGTTCTTGTTAGTAAACAGTAACTGACCCAGACAGAATGGACACAGACCAAATGGCTGGAAACACGGGGGCTGATTTAGGTAAGCCAGACTGTTCTTACTTTGCCATTCCAAGTACCCGAGTACTAGCACTTTATTGCAGTATTGACGAGTTTACAACTTTGACGAATGTTAGAATTATTGTTTTCGTCGGCCACATAGTCGCTGCCATGTTGCAATGACGTCATGCAGGCGCCATCTTGTGACTGGTTGCTTATGTCACGTTTGCGCTGACGTCATATTATTATGATCTAGCATCTGAGGTGGCACATGAACACTAGCATCATTTCCGGTGCGTGCAGAAAAGCTTACGGTTTGGGATTTTTCATCCCATAGTGGAGGGACATACTTTATTAAAGTGTATATAGCCTTAGTGTCATCATCCAGGCATACTTTTGTAACATTGTTACACTCCGGTATGGCCAACTTCTATACCTAAAACTTTCGCACTTGCAAACATAACTGTATCAGTCAACTGGTACCACCACCCACTAGGGTGGCTTGTCAAACAGTATTTGAATGACGGCGTGTATTCATTACAAAGCTTATCAGAAAATGTATGTCTCCAGGCGAGTCACTTGTTCCGTACGACTCTGAGCGGCAGACACAGGTAGTCCAACACCTACCGCCCGGCGGCCTTCCACTGGTACCTTACATAGGGCCGCCTGTGGTGTACAAAGTGTACAACATCACCAACCCCGTCGGCATACAGATAGAAAGCCACGGCAGCTACATGGCGGTGGAGGACCCGAGTAAGACTCTCAAAGATGACCAACGAAGGTACACAGAAACTGGAACACAAACAGGTGGGCCCTTTAGTCATTTATTCTACCATGAAAGTTCATCTGTATTGGTAGTTACATGTACATGTTTAGACTTTAAAAAATTTGATTTGGTCCAACACAAAGTAGTTTTATCACCTAGAGCTTTCCACCAGTCACTCTGGTCTTACTCAGTAGACCCATAGTTATTTATGTATCTTAACTAGATTTTAAATGTGGGTTGGTTTATTTACTTTTTTAAAGATTAATAAAATGTGTGCAACAAAGACATAAACTAGGAATATGAGATGCAAATGCACATACACTGGCAACATGCGGGTATATCTACATGGACACAATAACCTATTATGCCATAAGGCATGTTGCATGATTTGCAAAAAGTTTACTCCAGAATTTCAGAACATTTTTTTTAATCTTTCTAGACCAAAACAGCGAAAATGCCAAAGAGCCTATTTACAAAGAGGACGAAGGCGATTGGACAGCTAAACTCGGTTTGAAAACCGAGCAGCCAAAGAGCAGTAACAGCAATTGGACGTATAAAGGTATGTTAGTTTTTTTATTGAATATAACACAGACGTTTAATTTGATAACCAGTCTGTTTCTGACATTATCAAGATTATCAAAAGGCAACATAATAGAACTTATCATTGTGTTAAAGCTGTCAGTTGATTTTGTATTTGTGTTTATGCATTGATCACCGCTGTTTTCTGTACAGGAATCCCAGAGCATCCTCCGTTCATTGTATTACAATCCATGCCAAAGCTAGGATCATGTAAGTTATTCATAACGAAGAGGTCGTTAAAATGTGATAACAGCAGAAGGCTTCTTTTGTGATAAGCCATGTTACAAAGTAAATATTTGTCTGTGCTTATTTGTGTTTTTAAGATATGTTTATTTGTGAATGGTACTTACGTCCATTTATTCTCTATGGTGTTTCATAGCATCAGTATCAACCCTTTTTAAATTTCATGATTATACTTTACTTGACTTTGAGGGAAAGATGATCATCTTGTATTTTACTTGGCTATTATCAACATGTTTTCAACAGGTAAAAGGGTTGACAACATATCCCAGCGTATCGTCACAAGGATGGAACTGCTACAAGGGCAAGGTACATCACTGTGTATCGTCAAGTGCGTTTCAAGCACAAGCAATAACAAGCAAATATAGCAGACCTCACCCCTCTGGTGAAAAGCGCCCTCTAGCAATACACGCAGAAACTGCAAAACACAAAACAATGCTCAAACGAGAAAAAAATGATTACATCAGTCGTTGGGTTGGATCGATTCTTCTTCACCAACGAAAGGACTTAGAGATACACATCAATATAAATTTTTCATAGGTATTGTTATTGTTTTTTCTTACTACTTTGACAGGAAACTGGGACATGTATGACAAGTTTTTGATGGCTACAATGAAGCACTTTAAGGACGATCCCGACATTCTGGTGCGGGTTGTTCTTGAGGTAAGGCTGGGACATTTTTTTATGCATTTAGCTAAGGAGTTTTTTGATTTCACACGCAAGGAGAAGTTAGTATCTATTTTCTTTAGCTCGCACTTTTATCACTTCTTTAATTGTGCTTCATACATTCGTTGGCTAGGCGGTCAGAATATTGCAAGCAAATAATTCGCCTCTACATTTTGGCAAGGGTCTAAAATTGCTGTTCAAAGCTAATGTTTTCCCCCTAGGAGATGTCATCATATTTTATTTGTAAACATAATACTAGACAAAGTATTTTACAATGTGGTATATCTTCTATTTGATCCTCCTTCCCTACACAGGACGTGGTCGGTGCTTATTTCCGTGACGATTTGCAAAGCGGCTACACCAGCCTACAGCGTGCCGAAGAGCTTGTGCAGAAAGTCTCTGACCCGGCACAGCAGCAAACACACAGGCTGTTCCTGAAGTCTGCACTACTCCGCAAGGAAAAGCGGCATGACGAGGCGGATAACGTCAACTATCTCGCTCTACAGGTGTTATGAATTCATAATTCCTTTATTTTATCTAACCAAAGGTATTCCCATGAAGTTATAGGATAGTAGAAATTTGCAAACAAAATGTAAGGGTAACATATTCCCACAAATGAACTCCCACAGAAAATCATTCTTCCTATTTGGTTAAAATTTTTTCAGCCAGCGTTGTGTGGTGGTAGACAAGGGAGGGGGGGGCATTTAATACAGGCAACCAAGCCATAGTCGGCAGATTTGTCTGATGGTATGGTCTGTGATAGCTTTCTCTCTTTTATAATCTCTCTTTAACTTTAATTTTTTTATCAATCTGTTGTCCTTTTCCAGGGTCTACCCTACATGAAACCCGGAAGAGACACGGCGTCCGTTTGGTACAACCTGGCTGCGCTGAAAGCCCAAGTTCTATACGAATGCGAAAACCCCCCGACCGTGGCTAAGGCCTTATATCAGGAGGCAGTGGCCGCCTTTGAGGCCGCCATTGAGAACTACAAATTTGGGCTCGACAAAGAGGAGAGAACGTGCAAGAACAGCCTGCGAAGAAGTCATGTCCGTTTGTCCATGGCTCTGGTAGGCAGCTGGTACGATGGCACCGCGACCGGCACAAGCCCCGACCTCATCTCGGATGAGGACCTGAGAAAAGCAGAGAGCAGCCTTCAGGAAGTGGAGAACAGCCTATGGGAGGGCATCACAAGCCGCATGCGCTGCTCCTGGTACCTCGCAAAGTCCGACCTCTTCAGACGCCGTGGGAACACACAGAGGGCCACAGAGATGGCACAAGAAGCGCTGAGGGTTGCCAGAAACGGCGACTTCCCCTCTGAAGTCAAGTTTGCAGAGGTGCGACTGGGGTTGTTGAAGAGAGAAGAGATACAAGTTGAGGAGGACATGGCGTGGCTGTGGTCTGATGAGAGTACAGGGGTAAATATAAATATTGATAAAGTTTGGTTAGAATTATTTTGGAATTAGGAGATACTCCGCTCCCTTATCTTAATTTGATATTTGAAATTGGAATTAAAATTCATGAAACCTTCTTAAAGAAAACAAATTATGATTTTTTTTCCAGGAAGAGAAAATGGAGTGGTTCCTGAAGACAAACCTCAAAACTTTTTTCGGCAAACGCATATGTAACTGGAAGCTTTGGATAGGTATGAATGCATTTTTCTCATATCTTGAATAGAAATATTTATATCAACTAATGTATGATAATATGCCTACCTCAGTTATATACTGCTGCTTACTAACTTCAAAATTCTTCTTTATTCGACATTGTAATGAAAATATTTGTCTTTTCTGCAGGTAAATTGACACCCAGTGGCCCGGCATGGATACAGACAGTTGTTCTGTTAGTGGTGTTTTTCTTCCTTCCTGTGTTGGTGGCAATGTCCATGTATAGCTTGTACAACGGACGATGAAGTAGGTAGTTAAAAATCTCTCCGTGGGGAGTAGTCTGTTAATGCATTATATTTATTTTCTACGTCACATAGATCTGTGATCATTTGACAGAAAGCATGTAATGTGCTTATAGAGCTCCTTTGCTAATGAAACATAAAAACATGAATACAAATTGTGGTACCAAATACAAAAGTATATATAGAGGACAGAAGATGAAAATGGCTGGCGCACCAATAGAACCCATAAGTTGAACGTTAATGTGATATACTGTATGCCTTGAGGAAGATAGCGGAAATGGTTATGGAAAAAAGTTATGGAAAGCTGTGCAAAGCATAACTTATAGAAGATGTAAATACTACTTATTTATGCTATGGAGTAAGAACTTTATTTTCGTAGATTTCCGCTAGTAGTTTCTTCTCTGTTGTTATTAATGTTATTATGGGGTATGGTGTATACATTTACATGCATTAGCATGTGTGTAAATGCGATATTTATGTGAACTTAAAATATATGTAACATAATGAATGTGACTACAATTATAACAATTGGCATGTACATGTATATAGTAATATAAGATAGCGGTGAGAGGCAGAACTCCAGTCTGAAGCTCTGAGGAAGGTGTCTGATAGAAACGTCAGCACTTAGGGGTGAGAAATCTTGGTTGTGTAAAAGAAAACTTCTGTATCCAAAGGGGACAGACAGTACATTTCACATCGCGCCCCCAGATTCCAATTTTTCCCAAACCTGGAGACAGCTTCTCTCTTCCTTGCTTGCTGTCAGGAATGGGCGCTACTATTTTCGTGGGGGGGGGGGGGGCATCGTTGTGGATTACCGCATCCAATATGTCAATATATCCAATAAATTGTGAGCATACAGGAGACAAGATGGTCTGTATATACTTAATATAGATTGCTTAACTATCGTATAAAGGCTACTGCACCCCTGTTTTGTAAATGGTTCAACCCTTGTGTCGCATATTTCTGACTAGCTATAGTATTAAAACAAAGAATCACAAAAATTGTTTTGCGACTGAATTATGATGATATTTGAGTGCATATTATTGTACGTTTGTTCATAATGATACGGCCACGTTCTATTTCTAGATGGACAATGCCGCTCAACTGCATGTTAATTAACAGGCTAAGATACAAAGAATGGTGAGAAACAATACAATTTTTTTCTCCCAGCCCCGATTCAATTTCTAGCCAAACTTGTTGTACATCTTTCATTGAAGTGATCGGATCATCCTAAAGGTAACGGCAGATTTCATTTGCGTAGGCAGGGGTTACAGCTTCACTGTTAACATGTTTATTCCGCTCACGTACCGTGACCACCCCCGATGTGTCAATATATTTGAACAAACAGATTTGGAATCAGCACTGTAAAACGCAAACAGGTAACAGTTACGATCCGGTCTGTAGTCGCTTATACCAGAGTGTGTAAAAAATAATCTACCAGCTACCACATCCCCTCTATTGAAAATGGCTCTCCCCTTACGTCCGACTCGCATATATGACTATGAATAGAGGTCATACCGGGAGGCTATATCAGGACAGTGGTATCGCCTCAGTGTTTGCACGGCTGTGTGTGCGTGTGTGTGTGTAAGGAAGCGGCCATCATGTCGTTCATGTTACGGTATATCGGACAGATCTCTGCTGCAGTGTCGTGTGCCGCGGCCGGGTTCTCCTACTATCAGTTCCATGTGTCACAGGAACAGGTGCGTTAACGTTATGGGCTTATGAACGGGTGAAGTCGCCCATATGATCCCGTGTTTTATTGACAGTCTAGCATGGACGATACGCACATGCACGCATTGTATGTTCACAACATGAAATGGTGGATGTGCAACGTATACTGTGAAATATATTGTCTATCAAATGTTATTAGACTACGAGTTTGTGTTAAGCTCCAGACAGCCTTTATACATGGACGATATACACAGTACACATACGTGTAGTGCATGCATACGACACGACAGGAAATGGATAACCGTCCTGCATGCAAGCTAAACCAATGATACGTCTGTGTTTGCGTTAAGCCCCTGACAGACAGCTTACATGGACGTCATGTACACATGGTGCGCACATACGTTGTATTCTTTGCATGTAAGCTTGGGATTGTAAAATATGTTGTCTCACCAATGATAAGATTATTTGAGTGATAACGCGTCGCTGCACGTGTATACGGCGCACGGCGGATTTGGTACAGTGAAATGGTGACATAATTCTCGGAACAGTCGTGTATCTGTAGGTGTCGTGTAAATCTAAGCTGTATTGTGACGGGAATAGATGTCTATGATAAAGATCGATCCTTATCTGTGGCAGTTCTGTCGTGAGACTCGCTACAAATGGTAATATGGCAACAAATCGCAACAAATGTGTCAGTTTATTAGGGGAGGGGCGTTCCCTAGGGTCTGTCTGTGCTGTAGTAACGCCCTAGTTACATGTGACATTTGCTGCACGTTTTAGCCTGGGGGTCTTCCATGCAGTGTCGGACTGGTATATCGGGCGAGTTGTCTATATCACAGGCCAACTTCGAGTCGTGTGGTGTAGCGGCAGCATGCTCGACTCCAAGAGGTCCCGGGTTCCAGTCTTGACATGCCACCGATCTTGTGCCCTTGGGAAAAGCACTTTACACGACTTTCCTCTCTTAACTGAAATTAAAATAAGTGTTGTCTTGACCTGTACTGGCCCTCTGCCTTGGTGACTGCATATTAAGTTGATATAACTTGAGTGTGCCGTCACCATGTCCAGTCTTGAAATGTTATAATAAAAAAAAATGTGGTGGCAATATTGTAAATCAACGGACAATGGAATGCAAACAAAACATGTAATAACTGTATTCGAAGTAAAAACAGGCCTATCAAAATAATTATTCCTCCGTTATTTCTTCCAATACATTTTGATACGTAGAATACATAGTTCACTTTATGACTGTGTATGACTTTCCCTACACTATCCCTGATGTTGACACTCAGTGTACAATACCCCACCTGTGTCGCATGGCAAGGCGTGTTACATGGTAAATAGCATCGGGTCAACTGTATTTACTTCCGCATTCTTGTCCCAACGCCATGTGTCAATGCGAGCAAGGGCTCTACCTATAGCGATTGCTAGTATATCACAATGAATGAATGAAGTATTTTTCACCGAGGTGAAAAAATGTACATATGGCAGACACGATTTTCTCAACAAGGAACTTTGTGGTTTGATGTTATGTCTGACACCGTTTCCTGTGTTTCTGTCCTGTACTTTCGGAGAGAACCGCTAGATGGCATTGTTGAAAGTCCAAAGGTACACTTCTCCCACTGGCACTCTGAGAAGCAGAAGCAGGCGTCCCTCTAGCTGGTCAGCCTGGTTATTAATGACCACTTTGCCCATTAATGACCACTTCTCCCATTAATGACCACTTCTCCCATTAATGACCACTTCTCCCTGTTCTCCCCACAGTGGCACTCTGAGCAGCAGAAGCAGGCGTCCCTCTAGCTGGTTAGCCTGGTTATTAATGACCACTTCTCCCATTAATGACCACTTCTCCCTGTTCTCTCCCCAGTGGCACTCTGAGCAGCAGAAGCAGGCGTCCCTACAGCTGGTCAGCCTGGTTATAATCACAAGTAGAATAGATAACTGTATTGCACCATTACCCATTGTCCAGAATTGCACGACTTTCTTGCACTATTGTACTTTTAGATAGAAACGTTTGACGCCGTGATCCCCCTCATATGTCGGCTTGACGTCCCCATCCGAAAAGAAAAACATCATGAGACTCTCTTCCTGCGACTTTCCTCCTTAACCTCAGTGGCAAGAGGAACAGCAGAAATTGTCAATATTTTTTTTTCCAATATGTAATCACCAGAGGTGGTGACGACACACTCAAGTTTTTTCAACTTATATTAATGCCGCCACCAACACAGGGGACAAATACATGACAGGACAATACTTATTTACACCTGAGCTAAGTGAGGAAAGTCGTGTAAAGTGCCTTTCCCAAGGGCACAAGATCGGTGGCATGTAGCATGTCAGGGCTCGAACACGGGAATCTTAGTTCCGAGTCGCGCACTCTGCCGCTACGCCACAAATTGTCAATATTGACTGTAACGTACTCTTTTTGTACCACAGTGGCACTCTGAGCAGCAGAAGCAGGCGTCCTTGCAGCTGGTTAGCCTTGTGGACGACTATTTCGACTCCCGTCTGGACGCGGCGATCCACTATCTGTACGGACTGTCCGAGCAGGAGGGTGACGTCACCGACTTCGCCGCCGACTGGGCCAAGAAGAAGTACTTTACACAGCAGCTTGCCGGCGCGCTCTGGCTGTGGCCGTGGCAGCGGCAGATGAAGGTTGGTCACTCTTAGAACAAACAATCAAACAAACAAAACAAGCAAATAAACACACAAACAAATAAATACAAATACCCGGGCATGGCCGTGGCAGAGACAGGTGAAGGTTGGTAATTCCTAGTACAAACAAACAAACAAACAAACAAACAAACACTGTGGACAGAGATGAAGGTTGGTTACTCTTAAAACAAATAAACAATGGACACAGCAACTGGCCGGAGCGTTGTGGCTGTGGCCGTGGCAGATGAAGGTTGGTTATTCTTACAACAAACAAACAAACAAACAGATAAATAAACAATCAAACACTGGATACAACAGTTGGCCGGAGTGCTGTAGTTATGGCCGTGGCAGGGTAAAGGTTAGTTACTGTTAGACCAAACAAACAAACAATGGACACTAGCCGGGGCTCTGACCGTCCTAGAGACAGAAGAACGTTGGTTACTCCTAGAACAAAGAAAACAAACACTTGGAAAATTCAGTCAGACAATTGTCCACTAATTTAACTAATGATGCATGGCATCTATGTCCAGGGTGTTCAGCATGTGGCCACACAGCTCAAAAGCACCTCCTGGCGATATTTGTTTGCATAGCAATGCCTGAGCTGCCAACACCCACTTGTCAGGTTGAGACAAACGTGCAGGCACATGGTTTTCCTTGAGACAAACTCCTTGTGACAAACTATCACCGAGTTCTGTAATCCGTCTTACGATCATAACAAATACATCATCTTAATTGGTCCGCTCTGACAGATCTACGATTTGTAACTGTGAAAATACCTCAAGTGCGAAAACTAGGTATGACGTACGTTAGACCAAGGATCTTTCAATAGAAGGACTTCTATATGCATTGTAAGATTCTGACCTTAGTTAGACAAAGTCTGTCTAGTTCTATGCTTGCATGGGTTAAAAAGGATCAGGTACGGTTCTGGATAGTCTCTATCGTATCCAGAGCTGTGCCTATGTAATTCTATGCCTGAATGGGTTGGGGTTAGGATTAGGCACGGTTCTGGATAGTCTCAGTCGTATCCAGAGCCTTGGCTATCTAATTCTATTCCTGAACGGGTCAGGTTTATAGGATTCTGGATAGTCCGGTCGCGTATTCAAGAACGTGGATTTTCGAAATTTCGTCCAGGTACTATCCCAGGTATTGGATACACGTGGACTATCCAGAACTGTGTCAGGGCATGGTTCAGAATATAGCACTGTTCTGGATAAAACAACTGATATTGAGCCATTCTGTTCAGGATCGTGGATAGGTGTGGAAGATGGATCGGTCCCAGTACAACATCACGGGTTTGGTTAGAACACCAGAATAGCTCAGTGGCGTTAATGGCTTAGGAGTGAGCTTAGCGTGATCCAACCGGGAGGGCGAGAATTCCCACCCCAACTCAATCAACGGAAATTGTACAAGGTCGATACTTTTTAAAGGTGTCCCAGCCGCGTTCTATTAGCTAAGGTATCCGTTTAGTCAGTTTTCGTGTGTTTCATGTTTCTATGGCCAAGCTTCACTCTAGTCCTGGGAATGGGGTAAAAATGTTACTTGTCGAAAGCAGCATCCGAGATGAGTGTGGTTGATGGAGTGGTGGATTGTTTGCTGGGTTGATTAATTGGTATGGTCTTTTATTTCTAGTGATGGGTGCGAAACTTTACATTCGGGGGTTGTCTTTGGTTTGAAATAGAGTGATATAATAGCCCCAGTTTGGTTAGCTTGAGAAATGGAATTCAATCCTTTATACTATAGTAAGTTTCTCACCTTTTGTTTCAGAACGACGTGGAAGAGGTCGACAACTACGTGACGGTGACGAAGAATTTCTTCACGAAGTTCCGGATCCTGTACAACAGCGGCGGCGTGTCGCACCAGGAGATCACTCGCCTCGGCTTCCCGGGCGTCAGGCGCATGCGCATGTACATTGACGTCATCGAACCCCTCCAGCATGCGCAGTGCACGGTCTTCTCCAAGGACTGCGACTACCTGAGAAAGTACAACAAATCGCTAGAGAAGTTTCTTAAAGACGAGTTCTTGAACAAAGTAGACGGGAAAGACGATGCTGAGGAGGAGATTAGGGTGATGGAAGGCATCCGGGCAAGACAGGAGAAATTTGTCAGTGCACGGAAGGAAATCAGGGATTAAAATGATTAGTTACGTCATTGAGATTATCAACTTGCCCCTCCCCCTCCCATCAGAAAAGCTTCTCAATGGTATTAAAGTTTCTCAACGGGGATTAAGATTATTGGTTACGTCATTGAGATTAGCAAAATGATCCCCTTTCTCATCAAAAATGCTTTTCAATGGTATTAAAGTTTCTCGGTGCTGAAGGTAATCAGGGATTAAGATTATCTTTACGTCATTGGGATAAGTAAACTGATCCCTTCTCAGCTAAAATGATTCTCAGTGGTATTAAAGTTTCTGAGCGTACGGAATGGAATCAGGGATTAAGGTGATACGTCATTGGGATTAGGAAAAAGACCCCTTTTCATTAAAAATGCTTCTCGATGTTATTAAAGTTTCTCAGTACGGAAGGATATCAGGGATTAAGGTGATCGGTTATGTCATTGGGATAAGCAAAATGACACCCCCTATCAAAATGCTTCTCAACGGTTTTAAAGAATAAAGTCAAAGGGAATCAGGGATTAATTAAGTTTATTGTTTACGGCATTGGGATTACCAAAATGACACCCGTCTTCCAAATAAAAATGCTTCTCGAAGTTATCAAAACGAACAGGTGGTAACGAAGAGCATATCAATATCATGTAGTGTTGAGTAGACAAAGTTTTCAGTTTGTCTGTGTTGACCTCGTTTAAGCCATCTAAAAGTAGATCTGCTTCTGCTATGAGTAAGTGCCATGTCTGACAGTCAATTTAAAAGGTTTTTCGATGAATTTTCTAGATATCGTATATTTAGATTTGCAAAAGTAATGCGTATTCCATGAGCCAACAACAAATAGAATGCTGCATAGATATATGTAAAAGTTATCAGGCTATTTTGTGCAACAACCCACTTCATGTACATCTTCGAAGAAACTTCTCTCCTGGTAAAATATAAACTGTGGGACTGTTGGTGACGGCTGGCCAAGTTTTGTATTAAAGTGCTATACAACATTGCATATCCTCGGTGCTCATAACTCATTTTGTAAGGCCTAAAATCTTCTCAATGTGAAATATGGGACCAGAGGAAAAATACTACAGTGACTGTTATTCTAGTTTCGTATTCCCTTCTACGGTTTAACGCGATAAGACCTTCATTTCAGCAACTTTTTAGCTACTTTTACGGTTGTTGCTATTCCCTGAATGCTATATGATTCTGATTTATGTAACGTATAATCAACCCTCTTGCTTCCTTGGGTAACCTGTGAATAACATTCGCGACATTATAATGCTCCATGAGGACTATAAAAACGTAACATATCCTCAATACCTCCGTACCTCCTTTGAAGGCAAGACTCTTCTCAATATAAAGTGTCCTCAATGGTACAGTAACAGTGGCGACTGCCCTAGTTTTCACGCCTACATTATAAGGCCTTTAGGAATTCATTTCAGCAATTGCAACGTGTTTGTAACTTTTATGTCTTGCTACCGTTCTCTAAAGGCCATAACGTTATGATATATGTATGTATTATCAACCCATGTACTTCATTTTCAAACGTTTAAAATGAAAATAGACCCAGTGGGACAGTGACAGCTGACCCAGTTTGTATTCTCACCTAGTTAAAAGTGACGAGTGACTCATATGGGTAACACATTGAAGACATGAGCGATTTCATGTCGTTTTATGATGGCCATATAAAACATTACGTTTCTTCAAATCTCCCACCCTTGGCCATGGGGCATAACATCTTTCCAAACTAGGCCCAAGGCACAGTGAAGGTTGACCTATTTTTTGTGCACCTAAAGTTAAAAGTGACAAGTGAGTCATATGGGTAACAAATTGATCGCATGAACAGTTTATATCGTTTTATGATGGCTGTATAAAACATAAAGTATCCTCAAAGCTTGCACCTCTGGGGCATGACGTCTTTTCCTCACAAATAAGCCCAAAGGCAGAGTGACGGCTGACGGCTATTTTTTACACCTAAGTTTACAAGTGGCAACCAAGTGATTGCAGGAACAGTTTCATGATGTTTTATGTCAGCTATATAAAACATTGGGTATCCTTAAATCCCATACCCTAGGGGCCTAATATCTTCTTCGGGCTAACTAGCCCCAAAGGCAAAGACACAGTTGACCCATTTCTGCACACCTGAAGTTAAAAGAGACAGGTGACTCATATGGGTAACAAATTGATTGCATGAACGGTTTTATGTAGTTTTATGACGGCTATATAGAACGTTACGCATCCTCAGATCCTGTACCCTAGGGGCCTAATGTCTTCTCCACGCAAACTAGACCCAGAGGCAAAGACACAGTTGACCCATTTTTGCACACCTGGAGTGAAAAGTGACGAGTGACTGACATGGGTAACAAATTGATTGCTGAAGGATTTTTGAAGGGTTTACTTCATGTTTTATAACGGCTATATAAAACGTTACGCATCCTCAAATCCCGTACCCTAGGGGCCTAATCTCTTCTCCAACGCAAGTTAGACCCAAAGGCACAGTGAAGGCTGACCTATTTTTGTGCATCTAAAGTTAAAAGTGACAAGTAAGTCATATGGCTAACAAATTGATAACATGGACGGTTTGAAGTTGCTTTATGGAGGCTCGATAAAATATTACGTCTCGTCAAATCTCCCACCTTTGGGGCAAAGCGACTTTCCAACGCAAACTGCCACCAAAGACAGAGTAAAGGTTGACCTATTTTTGTACACTTAAAGTTTAAAGTGACAAGTGACTCATATGGGTATGAATGCATATCAGGAACGAATGCATGAACGATTTATATCATTTGATGACGGTTATATAAAACATAAAGTATCCTGAAATGCCGTACCCTAGGGACATAATGTCCTTCCAACGCAAACTAGGTCCAAGGGGAGAGTGACGGTTGACCCATTTTTGAAAGGACTCAATATGTGTAACTAATTCATTATTGATAGCTTTATGTCTAAAGGCTATAAACAATACGTATCTTTGTAACTTCGTTGGGAGGGCAAAGAGTAAGCTTCCTATACAGCCTTCGAGTGGTTGGGGATTTTAATACTGGTTTTGTAAAATTGTCAACGCGTCCTTTAGCCGTCCATCGTACAACCAACCGGCAATTGTAGAACAAACGCGCGCCTCGGTGCTACGATTGCCTTTTTGGTTATACGATGGCCGGCAAAGAACACGTTACCAATTTCACAAAACCCAGTATTACAAAACCCACCCCCTCTAAGGCCTGCACAGGCGGCTGCATAAAGCCTTCTCCTTACAGAATAGACCCAATGGAACAGTGTCGGTTGACCTACCTACAGCATACACCGGTAAGGCCTTCATTTCAGTAACCTGTGGATCATATTTAAGACTTGCTGCAGCTCCGACGGGAGCCATTAACGCTACTTCTCATCAGCATCCGTCCATCGTGAGTCAAGGGGCGCTAAGGCCACAGCAAGTCATTTTTATGGATGACATCAGCGCGCGCATTAATTTTCGCCTGATTTTGGAGAAAAAAAAAGAAATTTTGTTGCCTTCTGACAGTGGTCAACATACCGAAAATGGGCAAAGATGTCTGTTGCCATGCCGGAAGGTAGATGGCAGATAACTATGAAGGGAGGAGACAAGGAAAGGCTCTGATTTAATATTTTGTTTCTTACTTTGATGCACTGATATGTGGTGCTGGCTGTGTATATGTGGTGTTCCCACTGAATCAAAATCATTTGTACAATGATTGAGTACAAATTTTAAAATGTAGGAACCTTGTTTTTTTCGGCCCGCCTTGTTGTTTTTTTTTCTCATTAGATCTGGGGTCTGCGGAGGATGTCATCCATAAAATTTACTTGCTGTGGCCTAAGTCAAGGGGCGCTAACGCAGCCTGAAATGGGATCACGGTTAACCCCATTTCAGCCTCGTCTGGGCGCAGAATTAGCCTAAACGAGCGACCTAAATTCTGAGGATCGTTCTGGGGGTTAGCGAGGCTCCGTTTCTGCCATTACTACTGAGGGTTGAGGACCGGGTAAGTGGTTTGGTGGTTATAGATGGAGTTTTGGGACGTCCCGGTGGTCCTATGTGGGTTAATGGAAGGGCTGGCAAATTGGTGTGTTTAGATGCAGACCGCGGAGTAATCAGGGTTTCACACTTCGTTACTTTCTGCTTCTCGCTCGTTTCACGTTGCATGGGGATGTTGCTACACTACATGTGGCGAGGAAGAAAGCTACATTCGAAACAGTGTCGTCTAAACATGTGGCGAGAATGAAACACGGGTGTTTCTGAAGCTTTCATTCACGCGGGTGTCTTTGTACATTCATGTAGCTTTTGACACGGAATTTACATTAGGTACGAAACAATTGTTATGGTTAACACTCTTCATTTTGTTTACACAGAGACGTTTCTAAAGATTTCATTGAAACGGATATCGATAACTTTGTACATTTTTATGGATTTTGATAAGTCATGGAAATTACATTAGATATATACAGACCACGTTATGGCTCATCATCATCATGATACTCTTAATTCTTTTTTTAATTCACTTCTTAACAAGTTTAAACTAAGGAGCTCTCGATGTGGCGTTGACAGTACCGAAAAACGATTGACAAGCTTTTAATTACACGTAAGCCATTTTCCTAATAAATGTTTTTGACATGGACATTACGAGTATTACATTCAGAACCCGGTATGGTTTATACACTCAATCATTTTCCAATCATTACCTAGTTTAAGCCAGGTTGAAAGCAAGGCGTTTGACAAGAGTTCATTAATGTAGACACCTTTGTACTATTATATAGATTTTGACACGGGAATTATTGGTATTAGTACAGATACTGTTAATTATTTCAAGTCTCGCCCTGTTTAATCTAAGGTGTAATACCTGTGGCGTCGGTGGGACTGTAGCGTTTGACAGGCTATCATTTATGTGTCTGCCTCTTCATCAACTTTGCTTATTAAAATGATTTTTGACAGGAAAATTATTAGTATTAAATGCAGAACACGGTATTACTCAGGCGCCTTTTTAGCTGGATTATGAGCTGCAGAGCTCTCATTTGTGTTTGAGGTATTAAACATGC